GGACTTATACTGTCTTTTTACGTGTTGCGTTGCATCGCGCCGCGTAAACATAAAACCATGTCTGCATTTGTGATCGGAGAAATGACAAACAACAAGTGCTACTCTACACTGCCCAAAAAACTTGTGTTTGAATCGTCAGTGGCAAATTCTTTAAATATATGAAAAAAAAAAACGTACTTACAGTCTGTGAGTCACAACAGTCTACTCTCCCAGGATCAGGAAACAGTCCTTCATAAAATGCGCTGGACACATCTGAATATTTGGGTTAAACTGTTCTGGAACAGTGTTATAAATACAACTTAACCACTGATTTCTAGTCGTGTCCTCTTTTGGAAGGCCAAACAAAGGGGTTTCGCTTTCACAACGAAACAGCGTCAACGAAACAGCGTCACACACCACGCGGCCTTGAGTGAGCGGAGGCCGGCTTGAGTGAGCAGAGGCGGGCAGGCTTGAGAACGGCACGGCCGGCGGGCTTGCGGCAACCACATGTGACGACCCCGGGCTGGACTCCGCTTCATCCACGGTGAAAGCCCATCCGGCGATCCACAGCGCGAAGTTGATGCATTTCCTCAGCGACCAGCACGGATCAGCTCCAGGCATGACGAAGCGGATATCGTCCTCTTTTGGAAAGCCAACCAAAGTAGTTTCGCCTTCACAACGAAACACAGCGCCTTCACGACATTGTGGCGGCGGCAATAACAATACTACAGCGAGAATAAAAGTTATGCCTTCTTTCTTTGCGTGAACATTTGGGCGGCGTTATGCAAATCTTCCCACATAGTGATGTAGATATGTGGGGGCGTGTTAGAACGAGCCGTTTTAGGTAGGCATGGTTGACTCTTAACTTTTATAAAGAATATCTCTTTGGATTTGAGACTTTAGTCTTTGCAACTTTACAAATCTTCTTTATGCACCAAGAGCTTGTAACACTCCAAAGAGAAAGGAAAAATTTTAATCGCATCATATGACCCCTTTAAAACACTTAAGTGTGTAGTCCTCCGAAAATGCTGAAGTGGATACTGTATAAGGACTCGACAGAAGTAGAGTTTCTGCAATCATAACAGATTCGTGTGGGATTCAGAGCTTGAAGTTGTTGTTTTTGAACTGTCGACAAATAACTTCAGAACCCAGACTGACAGTGATGTCTGAGAACGGATGGAGACGAGAGGTTCATCTCAAAGAACTGGATAAAAGTCAAAAGCACATTAAGCGAAATCCATTGTGTATCCCCTGCGATAAACACGCCAGGGAAGAGTTAGCCTGTCACTGATTCAAATACCAGTCAAGGAAAACGGTGTGAGTCAGAGCTATTGTGCATATTGACAGGGACCAGGCATCTCACCATGGAGAGAAATCCCAAAACATTGGAATCAACATGGAATAATGAGAGCAATTTAAGAACGTCCATGAGGTTCCAAGAGGCTCTGAGATTTCAAACGAGTTGAGTTATTAGGAAAACTCTCGAAGGTCTCAGACACCAACAACTGTTGTTACAAAAATATCTCTTGGTTATGTAAAGGCTTCCATCATGCACAAAGAGCAGTTGGGTAATAGATATAAAGGTGCTGTAACAAACATCTCCTTCATTTTGCCAACCACAGTATCTCACAGGAGACGCGTGTCCTCCAACGTCTTCATTAATCTGAATAAAGTCTAACTATTCTCAACTCTGCCGCATTAATGGACACAGAAACATCATATTATAAAGTCACTGTTCCTCACGTCACCGAAACTGAAAAAAATGATTCCGGCTTTTGGTCGTTTTATTGCTAATTATCTGCAAATGTGCCTTCAAATCAGTGTTACTTTAGTATTATTTATATAATTTTATAGTATGTATTAATATTTGGAATTAGATGTCATATTTTAAGTTTTCATTTTAATTTGTTAAAGTTTTAGTAATTTTGTTTTGTGCTTTCGTCATTTTTATATACATTTCCATATCGCTATATTTTTATTTGTTTGAGTAATTTTAGTACTTCATCTTAAACTTATTTCAGTTAAGGAAGCATTTTTAATTTTCATTCAAGTTTTTCATCTAGTATTTTTATATTTTATTTTAAGTACCTAAAACAATTTTAAAACGTTTTCGTTTTATTTACAAATAACAACATTGCTTCGTATTAGCCTGAATTTGGGATTTGATTTCAATTTGCTTATTTCTAGTATTTTATGTTTTTGTGTCATTCTCAGCCTTCCCTTCAAAAACAAAACAAAAGGACGGTGTTTCTGATGATTCACCTTGTTACTAAAACCAGGTTTGAAAAAAAGGTGTCTGTAAAAAGGGGTAACACTTATAACAGGGACGGGGGTCTGGATCCACACAGACAGAATTGCCTGGACCTAAATATCAACTGCTTATACAGATCAACTACCTGAGAGTGGTAATGATCATTTGAAAGCAACATCAACTTGGTTCTTTGAGAGACTGCTGATGGTTTCATTCCAAACGTCTGTGTCATATGACACACAATATTGACATCAACAACGTCAAAGTGGTTTCTCCAAAATCTATAGACTTGGGAGTCATATCACTGTATTTAATGTAATGAAGCTATATATGGCTCTGCATCTGCAACATTAAAAAAACATTAAGTCTAAGAGAGTGCATGTAAACCTGTAAATGCACAAAAAAATTATTATGAAGCAAGTAAAACAAATATTAATAAAAAAAATAATAAACAATTAGAATGTATATAAAATACTACTACTACTACTAATAATAATAATAGCTATTATAATTGTTATTAATTATGAAGCAAGCAAAACAATAATATAAATAAGAATAAATACTTATAATTATATAAATATATACAAATAATATTAGTACAAATAATAACAGCTATTATTGTTAAATATTATTATATATATATATATATATATATATATACATATATATACATATATATACATACATACATATATACACATATACATACACACACACATACATATACACACATATCAAATTATTATTATTATTACTACTACCACCATTCTTATAAAATTATGTATAATCAACCCTCTACATTGCGAGTAAATCACTCGCATATGCGACTAAATCTTACTGTGGGCGACTAAATAATAGGGATGCACCGATGCCACTTTTTCCAGTACTTGCCCGATACGATACTTTTATTTTTGGTACTTGCCGATACAGAGTACCGATACCGATATTTTTATTGCATTTGTAAATTTTTTAAATATTGGGTACAGAAACCAAAAGGGTATGTATAATGTTAGTTGGTTAACTTCATTTATCAAATAGATACAGTCAAACCTAAATTTATTCAGACACCTTCAACATTTCTCACATTATCACAGTTTTATCGGGGCATTTTAACGAGTACGAGTACAGGAGACCAGTATCGGGCCAGATACCGATAACAGATACCGATACCAGTATCGGTGCATTCCTACTAAATAATGTCTAATATTAGCCATTGGCTAATAAATTCTTAGCTTTTACACGCCAGTATGTGTGTGAGAGGCGTTCAACACAGATTTTCACTCGATAAACACGTTGACTGAGCGCTTGAGAGTTTCGCTCTCCGTCAAGTGATCTGTACTATTTGGATGCGCTCAATGGATCATGTCATGTACTCAATGGATGCGCAGTACGTAACCTGTATTTGACGTACCGTAAATAGTGTGAAGGCGCACGACTCGCTGTCACTTTACTGATAGCGCTGTTTCTCTCACACATGCAAAGAGAGAGAGCGAGAGTCTTGCATACCATGCTGAATCAACGCGCTACATGTAAACCATATTCTTTGTTGTCTTTTCCTGTCAAAATAACAACGTTCATTTAGAATTATTCAGCTTTTAAGAACAAGCAGAAGATATGCCAGTTTCTCGGCAGTGGGCGGAGCTAATGCATGAACAGCTCTCGTTGGTTGGCGCTCATCTATCATCATTCCTGTTTTGATTTCAGCAAATCAGTTCGAGCGAACGCTGACAACGTGATTAATATTCATGACCCCAGCAGATAATAGTAGTAGTAGTAGTAGTAGTAGTATCTTTTAATAATAATTACTATTACCTATGACCAACAATATCTTAAACACCACCACCAGTCCTAAGTTCAGTTAAAACGACAAATATGCATTCATTCATGGATACCAAGTTTTAGTTCTAATCACTAGTTCTATCATTAACTGGTGCTTAATTATCATAATATCATAATATAATGCTTGATTGGCTGAATTTAAGAGTGCACATTCAGTTATTTAAGAAGCTGTTCCATTTTACAAAGATAAGCTGATTGGGTGGAATCGTGTGTGTGTACCTACTTAACCATATTTTGGGGACAATTTTGTACCCAAAAGTGAGCAAAACCTGACAAAATCGGCAAAAACCTCAATTTGTGGATGTCCTCATTTGTAAAACTGTTATAAAAATAAAGTAAACTAAGTTTTTTTTTACTTTTGAAATTGTAAAAATGCAGAAAGTTTTCTGTGAGGGGTAGGGTTAGGGGTGGGTTTAGGTTAAAAAGTGTATAACTATCTGTATATAAAAACAATCAAAGTCTATGTAATATCCCCATTTAGATAGCTAAGTAAACGTGTGTGTGTGTGTAAAATAGTATATCAGTCTGGCAAATAAATAAATAAAATGTTCTAGCCAGTGGCGATTATATTGCCAAGGTGTGCGTAGAGGGTTGATAATTAATATTTATTCTTATTTATATTAATATTCTGAATATATTATTATTATTGTAAATTGAAGAACTATGAAAAGCTATGTAGGCAGCAACATTCATTTGAAAGTTCTTTATAAACCAAAGAAGATCAATGGCATCAAAATGCTAATTGCCAAACCATTAAAGGCTCATCGAGAGCTCACATTCCAAATCGTCCTTGACTATACATCAACAATATCTTTGAACTTTGCAACATGTGGGCTTTGGTATTGGTATTTGCATTGGTAGAGTTGGGGCATCGCTTTAAAGGCTTCATTTATTGTGAATAACATCAAAAAGACAAACGAGGTGCATTTACCAGAGACATTGATCGAGGTTCCGGGATCAATCACTCCGCTGTTTGGTCGCACACAGTATCGACGCGGTGCAGTCGTCTTTACTTTAAAGCACACATTTCTGTCTGTGGGGTTAGCGAGCTTTAGGGTGGAGGTCACCACATCTGTAAATGGACCTGATGGGAGAAAAAGAGGACATTACTGTACATTCAAAACGCACTGAAATGATTTTAGGGTGTTCAGTGTGATTGTTAGCGCACTGCTATTCAGTTTCTAGGGTGTGCTGGGTGGTGGCTTACTGCAAAAATATCTCAAAATGATCAAGAGCAATATCTGCAGCCAGACTGCTCTAAGTGTCCACATCGATTTACAACCTTATAACCGATTTCACCCCACCCAGACATAATGATTCGAGACAAATCAAATTAGAGGTACATTCCAAAACTTAGCAATACATCAAAGGCCAAAAGACCACAGTATTCTTCTCAACTCTGGCACTCGCTTTACACTGTGAGAAAGAATAAGGGTGATTTTCAGGAAAATGGAACAAATTTGTTCTGCTGAAGGCTGATGCTAATCAGTCCACATATCACAGAATCAAACTATTTAAATATCTGGTAATAAACAAGAGTGTGGAGACCTGAAAACAATATGGTGACAGAGAGAGATCCTTCAGAAATCATTCTAATATGCTGATTTGCTGCTCAAGAAACATTTCTTATTCTTATCAGTGTTAAAAAATAGTTGTGCTGCTCAATATTTTTGTGGAAACGGTGATACTTTTTTAAAAAGGATTTTTGATTAAGAAAAAGTCCAAAAGAACAGCATTTATTTGAAACAGAAATCTTTTTTTGACATAATAAATGTCTTCTGATTAACCGAATGCATCCTTGGAAATAAAAGTATTAATTTCTTACAGACCAAGCTTTTGAACAGTAGTGCATTTCACTGCAATTTAACTTAAAAGGGGTTTATAAATTGACCCTAGTTAGCCAATCAATTCCTGATAAAAAAAAATCTAGTAGCATCCGACATCTTTTTGCATGTTTCACCTGGAAATAATTGTGTCTCGTTTTGACATTAAATCAGTTCTCAATCATTTCTGATCAAAAGGAACTGAAAGGTCAAAATGTTGATATGGCTGTTCAGGACATGTTTTTCTCTGTTAAAACAAAGAAAAAAGTAATAAAAATGTAGAAAAAATAAATAAATTTAATAATACTATAAGTATGTTTGTAGCAACACCATAACAAAATCTGAAGCCCAAGGATAACCCTGATCAATTTGTATACCCACAGCTAAATCCTGAGAAATTGATAACATATGTAGCGTCTGGAACACTCCAACACACAATATATATTTTGTTAGCTAGATTTATATGACATTATATTGAAAGGTTTGAATGGTTTCCCCCTCATGGTGCAGTGGTTTCTGCTCAAACAGGAAGAGTAGATACAATCTCTAACAGTCAAAGATGAGTTAAGCTGCCAAGATTTTGTCTCATTCACAAAGATTGCTGTTTCTTCTAATGTATTAAAGTCAACATAAAACAGCATAATTTACAACATTTTTAATTCCATGATGTGCCAACATATTTCCATGTGAAACAGGATTTTCAACAAGAAACAGGCCTTTTGTGCAAGTTATTACATTTTCATGATCGATTACAAAGGTAAACAATTAGACCACAAATATGTTTATAAAGTAAATTGGGTCATTTTTGATTTCATGTTGACTTCATATATGCTACGCTAGTTCAGTCACAAACAGCGCCTCACATCAAGAATACAACACCTCATCTGGGTTAATTCTATTAAACCAGTTAAATTATTGAGAGGCTGTGACACTTGAAACCCATAGTGAGCCTTATGTTGTTTGAGCCTTTATGCTCTGTGTTACAGAGGAAAAGACGCAGATGAACTAAGCGCCTTGGGCCTTTAAAACCTTAACAGAGAGACAAACATTGCACAAGGCCTAACAATGGACTGTCCTGGCCAAAAATGTCATTTCCATTCATACAGAACTACATGGAGAAACTGATACAATTAGGGCAAAAATAATAGCAAAGCACGAGTCATGCAGAAAGGCATCTTTCTCTGTATTCATTTCATTTGGTAAATCATAATACCAACCGACCAAAACACACGCAAGTCCGATCCAAATGTTTAATGTCACTATTGTTACCATCTATTTGCATTACTTTATATCTAGCTGGTCACATTTATGCATTTGTTAGCCAGCCAAGTTGCAGATTTAAAGTAGGGCTGTGCAATTAATCACATGCTATTGTCAAGCGCATCTCATCAGTAAAGCCGGTTCCGTGATTAGTAGTAAATCTCCATCACCTGCTTTCAGATGGAGCGGCATTTAATACACAGAGCCATAGTTCACTGACAATTAGGCAATATTGCGTTCATAATCGCAGCTGAATCGCATTAAATTATGAACGCGATATTGCCTAGCTTGTCAGTGAACTACGGCTCTGCCCTAATTTAAAGCTGAGACGTGAGAAAGCAAACTGATATGTTCATTCAGCCGACAGAAGTCCTGCAGAGCACCATTCTCACAGTTTTCCATTAAATTATATTATATTTGTCCCAAATCATTGTTAATGTACATAATGACTTCACCCTAGGCTGTAAAATTGTGTATTGTGCATTTTTCAGCGAAACATTTGTCTTTCTGTGGCTCTAATTAAGTTGGTATGCTTCATATAGATCACTCTTTCTCTTTGCTCTGTTTTTTAAACACCGAACTAGAGACCTACGAGGGACAGATTTTTCTGTCCTGCTCCCGCAAGATTCTGTCCCGCGCCTGCAGAAATATATCTTATCTGGTCCCGGTCCCGCCCGCGACATTCATGTTTTGTCCCGCTCCCGCCCGCAAAAGCCCGCATAAAAGTAATCTATATAGATTTTTTCAGTACATCGAAGAAATGTACATGAAATGGTTCTGTAACATCTCCTAAGCTCCACAACATCCCAGCATAAACAGTCCAGATAAAATATTTGTTATTTAGGCTAAGCATCGACATTCACACACCACTGTTATTTTTAACAGAAAAGCAAGCATGGGCTGCTGCGTGCATGGTTTGGCATGGCAGAATGCGATCAGCGCGCTTCCTTTATTATCACTAAAAGCTGACATCTCAGTTAATCGCGATCTCATAAAGCTCTGTTATAACACAATAAATATATGCACAATGAATCTTTCACAGCGTCTACACTTCGTGTGTTAAAATAAAAGGATCCGTGAGCACACGGCACCCCGGTTGGGAAACACTGATCTAAGTGATGATAGTAGTAGACGTAGAGGAGTGGGATGACTTTTTTCCTTTATAAGGTAGCCTAATTTTTAATTTTTACAATGTTTTTGTAATGTATTAATCATCACGGGCTGTAAAAAAAACAAAAAAAAAGAAGTAGGCCTATACTAATAATAAGAGTAGATTTGGTTCGAATAGCCAATCTTTTAGTAGGCTATAAATATGTGGCTATGTTACAGCTCTCCTTTGAAGCTCTTGTGTTTTTCTCCTTTTCTATCTGTCCAATCCTATTCTGCTCACAGGTGATTGGAGATGAGTTTTGTTCCTGCTTTGTTGCAGTTTGCTGATTTTTGTAAAATAACTTGTTTTTGCTTTTGAGGTAAAAGTGTAGTTTCAGTTTAATATGTTGCGGGCTCATTTATCGGTAATACATTATTGATAATAAATTATATTGATGATAATAAATTATAAAAAATATTGGGCTTGTTTTGGGCTTGGTTTTGAAGCTGCAGTTGCTTATTTGTCTCACGAGAGTTGACAACAGTGACCCGCACTCGCCCATCAAGAGTTGTCCCGTGCCGCACCCGGTTGCGTTGGGTCCCGCGGTACTCCCACGGGAGTGCAGGTCTCTACACCGAACTTTAAACTCATCTATGCCACTGTTCATTCTTGAAGTAAACTTTTGCCCGTCTGGTGATTAAATAAACTGTTTTAGACTGTTGCTTGAATTTAACGCGACGTGTCTGGTGTGAACGTGATACCTGTGAGTTGTCCTAGTCACCATGCAGCGCTGCGACTATTTTGTTATTTTGATTAGATAATCAAGAGTTCTAAAATGGAAGCAAATAAAGTGTGGGAGTATACTTACAATATCCATATGTATGTAATTTCAATGCTATTGCCTTTGTGTAGATATTTAAAGATGGCCATCTTTAAGGATGATTGTTAAAATGAAATGGTAACACTTTACAAGACTCCCTTTGTACCAAGGATGATAAAAGCTGTAGAAGTATTGTTCCTTGTTAGAGTGTTAATTTCAACATTTACGAATACACTTTTAAATTTTAAACTGTTAACATTAGTTAAAGTGCCCCTATTATGCGTTTTTTAAGGTTCCTAATATTGTTTTGGGAGTCTCCTACAATAGGATTACATGCATGCAAGGTCAAAAAACGCTTTCGTTTTCTCAAAATATGCATTAAATATCATCTAATTTTCCAGTGATTCTCAAACGATTTGTTCGAAGCAGTTTAAAGATTCAGTCTCTCTAAATCCCTCCTTTCCATGAGCCTGCTCTGCTCTGATTGGTCAGATGGCCTAGTCTGTTGTGATTGGTCTACTGCATACAGCGTGTGTCGGAAACGATACGCCCATTGCCATAGTTCCGTATTTTGAATGCTCGATAGAAAATATAAACATCTATTATTTATCATACTTGTGATTCAGTGGAGCCAGCTGGTCCCAATAAACAGGGTACTAAGCCATCTTTCAAGAGCAAGCGTTTAGTGAATTCCACGTTGAACTCTGCATTGAGATTTTTTTTTTTAACTCCCCGAGATTAGAGAAGCAGTCGTCAGTAAAATGACGTGTTTGTGGGCGGGGTCAAGTTGTTCGCTGCCGGCCAACGTAGAACATAGACGGGAATTATGCAAATGTGTTAACCTGTGAGGTGTAGCCGTCATGGAAGTGGGATTCGAATTACTAACGACTCGTTTAGGCTGTAGAGAGTCGATTCTTTATTTTGGGAGACAATAACTGTATTTATCGTGCACTTTCGGCTTTACAACTTTGCTGATCATTTACATTCACATACAGCTACATTACACACTGCATGAAAAGCAATACTGGAAATGGTATAATAGGGGTACTTTAATGAACTATGAACTATCTTTAATGATCAATATTTAATTA